TCCAATTTCAATCCTTTCTCTCTTCATCCTCATTCCGGTGGGGGTGGTGGGTTTCCTGGAGGCGGGCCTTTGGACGGCTCCGGGTTTCGTTCAAGTAGTGAGGTTTTGTCTCACTCGCTTTAGCGACAAAATGTTTGGTAGACACTCTCATCATTTTAAAGCATTGTAATTATTATCTGTTTGAATTTTAAATTTTCTTCACTTTCTTGTTAACAATTAATTTGTTCCTCTTCTCTGTCTCTCACCCTCTTTCTCTCACTCCCTCTCTTTCTCATTATTCAGTCATATCTTAACACGCAAGACTCCTAACCAACCGAAACCATTTTACTATTATTATTATTATTATTATTATTATTATTATTACTATACTTATTCTTAAATTTATGCTCACGTCCCACCTTTCACGATCAACCAGCAAAGATTGAGTGTAACATGAAATTGTCAGAATCACTAGTCACTACAACAATAACAATTATAACATAATTATGATAATGACAGTATCATTATCCACTTGATAATGTTATTAATAATCATTTTTTTCATGTGGGTGTGGCTCAGTTAGTAGGCGTGGTCTATCATGTCACGTGCATAAAAATTCGCACCCATTTCTGTCTTGCACTCTTGCTTGTTAAAGCCTTTTTGCTGCAAAAAATGTCGAAAGAGAAGGACCCTTTGCTTAACTCTTCCGAGGCAGAGAAAGAGAGCGATGTCCCGCCGCCCTGGTTAAACAAGGCGCCTGGTTGCCTTGTTTGGCTTTACGAGCACAGAGAACGTATTCCAGGATATGGAGTAGTCCAACTATTAAGGAAAGTGAGTTTGTGGTGAAATAGATGCCTGATATATTATTTAAATGACTAAATATCCACTTGATATACTGTAATATATCTTCTTTTCCTTGATGTATATTTAAATGTTTTTCTTGACATATTTTAATATTTCTTTTTTCCCTTTCTTTCTTTCTCCATAGGCCTCTCTCTACAGTATGTACGTTCTCCTTATTTTGCTGTTGGTTTATTTAGTCAATCAATTGGACCGATACACTATATCTATCACTGCCAAGTACGTGGGGCTGGACCTTCACTTTGGTACCTTGGACTGTATGCCAAACTTGACCCTCTTCAAACAAGAAAAGCTAAGCAGGAGCTACCTTGTACACACAATGATAAAGGACTGTAATAAGAACACGAGTCTGTAAGTACGGGAATGGAGTGTGCAAAGTGGGAATTTGGGAGATGGGAATGAAAAACTGGGAGTATGGGAATGAGGGTTTGTTTATGGCGTAAGATTTATTATCATGTGTTATCACTATATCTCCCTTCCTCCTTCTCTCTCTCTTTCCTTCTCTATTTTCCTCCTTTCAGTACCACTCAAGAGTTGTGTGAAGATTATGAAGCTATGTTACCAAATGCCTATAACGACACCACTCCGATATGTGCTTGGGATCATGATGGAGCCAAAGGCTTAAAATACCAGATCCTTGCCGGGCCAGTGTTCAATAACCTTTATCCAATAGCTGGTATATTCATGGGTTTACTGGCCGACAGGTTTAACAGGAAAATATTACTGGGCCTAAGTCTTCTGCTGTGGAGTTTAGCTACTGGTGCAACTGGTTTTGCAGTCAGTTATGTAATGCTGGTTATATTTAGGATGTTACTGGCATTGGGGTAAGAGAGAGAGAGAGGGAGAGAGAGAGGGGGGGGAGAGATGGAGGGATAGAGATCATTTTTGGGGTGACATTTTTGCTGACCTACTACCTGTGAAATTCATTGTCATGATTAATGATACACAGAAGCATTGTGTGTTGTACTGTACAGTTGTCATTACAGCTTTTTTGCTCAGCTGCAAATTATTAGTATTTACTCTATACACTATTGTGTCATCAATAACTTTCATGTGTACTCTCGTATTTTATTATTTGTTATTATGTAACTGGTTTACCACTCCAGTCCAGGTGGAGTGTCTGTTGAGTTTGTTTTATGTCTGAGAGCAAGTGATTATTAATTATCATTGTTATCCTCTCTCTCTCTCCCCCTCCCTCCCTCCCTCCCTCCCTCCCCCTCCCTCACTCCCTCCCCCCTCTCTCTCTCTCTCTCTCTCCCTCTTTCTCTAGTGCTGCTGGCTGCAATCCTTTCGCTCTAAGTATAATTGCTGATTACTTTCCACAAGTAAGCAAAAATAACTTAGAAAATATAGAACACTCAAACCTTTCTCTTCTCCATTAGGAGTTGCGTGGTTCTGCTGTGGGTATCTATTACTGGGGAATATACTTTGGTTATAGCTTAGCTTATGCTATTGGCAACGGTGTCAACATTGGTCTGGGTTGGCGCTGGGTTTTCTTCATCAGCGCCCTAATGGGCATCGTCCTAGTACCTCTAGTCTTCTTTACAGTCAAAGAGCCGAAACGTTCAACCGAAAAGGACACTAAAGCCGTCAATGGCGATAAAGGAACTCTGAATAACAAAAAAGAGTGGTCCTTGTCTGAATCTCTAGTCCAGCTAAAACTCGTCATTTTAACTTTTATAATGCCTGGGATGTTGACACTCTGTATTGCAGGGAGCATAAGGAACGCTGGGGGTTATGTTTGGGCTTACAACACACAGCCTTTCTTCTCCCTCACCATTGATGATGCCACTATAGCAGCCTATATGTCTGTTATTCCGCTGGTGGGCGGGTCTATTGGTGCTGTAGTGGGCGGACTTATTTCTGATCTATTGGTGAAAGGGCGTGGTCCTTACGCCCGTATATGGGTACTCATTATTAGTCAGGTGGGTAGATATTTTTGTTGTTGTATCAGGAAAATTTCAATATTTAATTTTTCCACCGAAGAAAGTAATTTAAACAATAATTTATGATCAATTTATACCTTCAAACTAAAAGTTATTCAAAATTAAGCTCTACATGTATAAATAATAATATTGATAATTTTATTTTATTATAGATTATTGCTGCTCCATTTGCGGCTGGTGCCCTGTTCCTCCCCGAACCATGGTGTTTCCTCTCCCTAATCCCGTCAAACGTGTTTGGCGAGATGTGGATTGGCGTCCTCTCGGCCATCGTCCTCGACATATCCCCCAAGAAAATCCGAACGACCGTCATCGCAGTCTACCTCTTCATCATAACCGTCATCGGCGGTAACTTCAACATCGTAGTAGCACCAATACAAAAGGCGCTGAAGAAACACATTGATGGTGACGATACCACTAAAGAATTGAGGTCAATGCGTTGGACTCTGTTCCTTACCTTCCCTTGTCTCTATGCTCTCTCTTCCATTCTTTTTGTGGTAGCTTTTCTTTTGATGAGGTTTGATATTAAGTGGAAGGAGAGGAAAGAGAGAGAGCATGTGTCTTTGAATAGACCGGCTAAGTCTGGATCCGTTGATAGCGTTGAATAACAATGATGATTATTATTATTATTATTGTGCTTATTATTATACATTATTATGCTGGTACTTAAGCTAATATTAGTCAATTTAACTGTTCTATTAATGTAATACTTTCCTTGTCTCTATGCTTATAATGCTGTTTCCTTTTTAAATAAGTATTGTCTATTTTGGGAGCTACACTAATTTGCTAAGACAACATATGGGGCGCTTTGATAATAATGCTAAAGCAACTTCAGGAAGAGTAATGGTGTAACACAGAAATTGTCGAAACAATGTAGCTCTGAGATGTGCAGTCATCATCAATCATATAATATGCCTGTCTTTATAAATAGACGTGCTATTATGATATTATAATGATTTGTATCAAGAGTTGATAATTGCATGGATCTCTATCATAGATCCCATGCTATGTATAAATAAATGCTTTGGAAGCTTAGGCTTAAATGTTTTCCATTTATCCTGTTAAAATTAATAATAAATAATACATAGCTATTATTATTAATGTGTGTACTGTACGTGTACATGTATGTGAGTGTTAACTGTGTTTATGTTTTCATTGGTTGGTGTTTAGTTGATGCATATAGTTTCATTATTGTGCTTATTGATGTCTCCCAAGCAGCACAATGCTTGGTTTCTATTTCTATCTCAGTCTCTGATAGTGCCCTTGACTTATTAATAGCAGCAGTGTACCAATCCTTATACTCCTGGAGAAAAGTTATAATAATAATTATAATAAGATTAAGATAACAGGATTATACACAATTATTGGTAGTAGTACAGTAGCAACCTTTTGAGAGAACAATCTAATGGTTAAGACCCATTTTTAAAATTTAAATACATTCAAAATTCTACATGTTTTTGTCTCTGTGATTAGAAACAAGCCCTCTTTTATATCCAAGCTCTGAATCATGTATAACTATTGCAAATCGTTTATAACTGATCCCCCCTTGTATATCCCAGCCTTCCCAGAACCAGATGGTAGTCTCTCAAAAGGACTACTGTATTACCATACCTCTATTATAGTGTCTCTGGTTTTTATAACTTCATAATGAGCTGTTGTAGCTTTTACTGACTTCAGCTTACCAGCAACTACAGTACAATAGACAAAAAATAAAATGCACTTCATAATAATAATAATTATTAATTTTTTTAATGTACTGGTTGTTGCGATTTCTTTGTCACCAAATGTCAGCGTGCTGTCACTGATAGGTGGCCATGTTATTGCTGTATTTGCCCTCCTTGATAATCTTGATGACTTCTCTCTTACTTCTTTAAAATAACAACAACAATAATAACGATGATCACACTAGCTTTTCCAAATAGAATTAGTTAAATTATTTAATCTCTTCATCTCCCCCTCCTTCACTCCCTCCCTCCCTCCCTCTCTCTCCCTCCCTCCCTCCCTCCCTTCCTCTCTCTCCCTCTCTCTCTCTCCCACCCTCCCTCTCTCTCCCTCTCTCTCTCCTTCTTTCCCTGACTACCTACCAGTGCTTTCTTTTTTGTCAGTGTGTCCACCTGTTGCATATTCTCTCAGCAGTTCTTGTCTTGAAGGTAAGCTAACGCTAGCTGGTTGGACGTCACACTGATCGATGCTCTCATCAAATAATTTGAGTAACTCTTCGACTTTTTTGTGAACTTCGACAATAAACTCCTTGCAATTAGTTTGAAGTGTTGACTATTATAAATTAATATAAAACAGTAAGTTCTACTCTACCACAAACTATTAAACAGCGTATGTTTATTCCAAAATTGTAATGTGCCAATGTGTAATAGTGAAAATTGGATGGCTATCATAGAGTATAGTAATTGGAAATCCACTGTAATAGTGATAGTAAAATGTATAATTTGTCAGTAAGGCTGTGTAGAAATTTTGAGCTGAGTCCAATTAAATTTTGGATTATTAAAGTTGCTCAAAAATCAGGCCAAAGTCCCTGTACTATATTTCGGCCAAATTTCGTCAAAAATGACTAGGAGAGAATTCCACTCAGGAATACAGCATCAAGGAGCTTTGCTTTAATAATGTGCCTTTTTCAATTAAAACGTTAGTAGCTACGGTAATTGCTAAGTGTGCAAAAAATCGCAAAATTAAGCAGTCACAAATATGTACATGTACATTTACAATGTGCATACATGTTACATGTACATGTACAAATGTACATGTACATGTACATACTATGTGTACATGTACATCAGTGTTGTTGCAATTACATGATTTATTGTAATCATTACAACTGAATTACTGATCGAATTTACTGTAATCATTACAATTACAATTACTAATTGACACATGTAACCAAAAATGTAATCATTACAATCACTCAATTACAGCTCAATTACATGTCTTTTACAATAGACTTTTATTAACTTTTAAAAATACAAGGTTTTCAAAGTTTTTTGGTAATAAACGAGACCTGTCTGCAGATAATATTTTTCCTGCCTGGCTAAAAACTCTTTCAACAGGAGCTAGTAGCTAGTTGAAGTCATGTGATCATTTATCAGTGCATTTTACACTTGACTGAACATGAAAGAGCAAACAAAATGCTTGTACATTGTACAGTCAGTTTCACAAATTCACACTATTTACATGTACTGAAGTAATTGATTTTCCAATTACAATTACAAAATTTCAATTACAATTACCAATTACATCAACTTGAATATTTTCAATTACAATTACCATTACCATTACTTTGAAAAAGTAATCATTAGTAATTAATTACAATTACAAATTACAATTACAACATCACTGATGTACATGTATGTACACTAACTTCAATTTTATTTGTTCTTTCTGTGATAATGTTGAGAGTAGCTTCATGTCTCTCTCTCTCCCTCTTACAAAGCTCCTGCAACTCATCCACACACTCAGGGTGACCCAGATAAGGACGCAAGGAGAACTCGTGTGAACTCTAAAAATTAAAAATTAAATAAATAATCATAACGTCATTACTTTGTAATGTGGGTCTACAAGTACATGTACTGTACATGTACTTGTACTATACATGTACATGTACATGATGATATTCAAGAAGTTAAAAATTAACAAAAAGCACAAGCTATAGCCTTTGGACAACTT